ACTATGAGCTAAAAAATATAGAGGTTAACAAAAGACAATACACTGTTCACAGGAATTAAGCAAATATTCCAGACCCTCCCTTTTTCTTTCGCTGCGGTTAAACAACTCAATTCTCTATCGACTTGAAAGCAACCTTTAAACCCACACAGGTCTGTCTGAGGTCTATTTGAACCCTCCCACTCTCTCTCCTCCCTGTGTGTTCCAGCCCCCAACGTCTAACCCAGGGAGACCCCACATCCATACACACACACGCACATGCACACACACACACGTACACATATACACGCACTTCCAGCCGACAGCAGGGCACGTACGATCGGAAACACAAGCCTAAACCCCGACCATTGGCGATTACACACCTCCTTTAAACAATACCTCTGTGAGTGATGGACACATGTGCTCCGGGGCTGATGCTGCGTCCAGAGCCAAATCATGGAACCGTCTCACGCACTGGGGGAGGGGGGAAATGCATTCTACAGGAACTGCCGAGATGATAAAGGGACTTCCCAGCTCCCTGCTCCTGTCCTGAGACCAGATCCACACATTTACAGACAAAACACTGCTGCTTTTCCCTGCAGCTCACTATCTCACACGTCTCGTTCCCACACGGCTCCTCCGGGTTTAGGGAGCGGCTGGAAATACAATACGACTGTTTTACTGCTGGTGGAGAGCATATTTGGTTTGCTCTAAGGAAGGAGCAAAGAAAGTGAATTTGTTTTTGACACTCACAAGTCGTATAGTCCTCTACAGTCGTACATATGAGAGAAAAGCAGTTACTTAAGAGTTCTTTCATTCGTCCCACAGAAGAGAAATCTCAGTGTTGCATCGCAAGTTACAGAACAGTATAGAATGAGAAGCAACCAAGTGAATTTTATGTATAGCACAACTCAATGCTCACACAATTCTCTCTCTAAAGAAACATGGGAGGTATAAACCTATGTACTCTAGTGAAAATAAATATATACTTGTATGTATACTGCTTACATCTGTTGATAAACCTGTAATATTTATCTATTTATTGTTTATTTGGTTGGGACAGTAGATGTTAATGAACACATCAATCCAGATTCTAGCCCTGGGACTAATGTGCATCCGTTATCCTACATTCGCACTCACAAACACACACTCATTCACCCTGAGCCATTTACGCAGATATGGGGAGAACATGCAAACTCCACTTAGAAAGGCTCTTTTCCGACTGGGATTCGAACCCAGAACCTTCTTCCTGAGAGGCGAGAGGGTTTGAATATTCACAGTGATGATACTAATGTACATGTTAGCAGCATTAGGCTCTGGGCAAAAAGTTATACGGCTGTTCCTATAGCGTCCTCTTGACCCAAAGTATCAAATAATGACTTACAGGACTCTTTCCATATAAAATAATGTTACTGTTGTTTTCATTATAGGACAAACAAAATAATAGTTTATTTATTCACAGTTTAGGGGAAAAAAAGTCAAGAAAGGCTATAACGATACTATAAAAATATTTAACCATTGTCTTTCATGACTGATAAATACTTATGGCTACTAATATTAGTGGATTTTACAACAAGTTGCAGCACAAAAAGGCGAACGTCAAGATTAAGAGATCTTTTATTCGTCCCACAGCAGGGAAATTTCAGTGTTGTACCTGAAGTTACAGAACAGTAGGAATGAGGAGCACACAGCACAAGATAAATGACCTTTCCCAATACTAATTAAAATAAATCTTTACGTCTAGCATCAAAGAACCAAGTATAACATTTCTATCTTTAACATAATAGATCTCAAAATTTGGCAAAATAAGAAGCTGAAGTACTGGGTATTCTAGTGTAGTTATATGTTACAGTATTTAAAACCAAACTGAAGGATTTTGGACCCACAGACATCAGTCTATATTAAAGTCTACATCACTGTTAAAAACACCACTTCTATGTTAATCATTATAGTTTGAAGCCTTAGTGTTTATCAATCTCTAAAAAGACCTTTGATAATCATTCCTGACTCACAGCACTCATTGCAGAGCTGTGTTTGTGTAAGGAGAAGATTATGACATCGAACAAAAGCCGGGGAATTCCTCTGCACATGTATCACTTATACCCTCACTGTATTCTCTGAGCCTGGAGCTGCCCATGTGGCCTTTTGTCTTTGTCTTTCTCTTGCTGTTCTCGAGTAAACTCATGAACCCTCTGCCCATAATGCCTTTGACAAGACGTTATTACAGTCATTTATTTCACATTTGGCATTCAAAGTCTGAAAAGCCTCTTAACTTTGACTGATGTAATGTCGTGTAACAATGAGCTGACGTAACACCGGTGCATGCGACATCACAACATTCCAAAGAGACTACGGTTTAGCACTGGGGTGGAGGGCAGCTGAGCCGTCCTTCTTGGTAACTGTCTAAACTGTCGGAGCTGTGAGGTCATTCATCTGCAATACGGTGGATTTGTGAATCTCTCCCTATCAAATGATGATCCTTTTTTTCCCAACATTTCTTTCTAAATATTTACTTGTATCAGCTGAAGTCCAATTCCAGAATATAAACACAACCTATTCCAGTCATCTCCAGAGAGGACATGAACTTTAGTCGACCTGGAAAGACTCGAGACAAAGATTGCAGTAGAATATATTTAGTCTAAGATTCTGAGACAAATTTGAACCCAACAGACGCATCGAGGACTAATATATTTATTACATTTCAACATAAAGTGATCCTTAAAGATGCAGTAAGCGATGTCGTTAGCTTAGCCGTTCCGCACCAACTGGAAACAAACCCCCCTCCCCTCGCCTCTCCACCAAACCAAACATCCAGCATTTTATTTTCTTTGTCACAACCATAGACTGTATTTATTAACGGACGTAGTCACACCTATCTCCATCGTTCTAACTGATGGGCCAAAAATTGGGCTGTACTGGAGTGATTCAAAATGGCCGCGGGGGCTGGAAAATGTGAAAAAACGCATCTGTGCATGCGTCAGCTGTACGAGCCCCATTTATTTAAACGAGTTACTTCAAAAATTCACAGCGAGTAAACTAGAGTGGTCCAGAACACCCCCCTCAGCATTGACACACATGTGGAACGGAGCTTTGGGCCAAGAGCCAACTTTTTGACCATCCTGTAAAGACGTTTTCGAGAGGTCAGCTAATGCTATATGTTAGCATTGGCTAATTCTTATTCTGGGTCCACCCCCATCGGCCCGGGGTGGTATTGCAAGCATGTCAGCGCACGTCATTTTGGCCACTTTTGAGCCAGGACCCGCCCCCACTGGTCACAACAGGGAGAGGTTTTAAAAAATCCGATAACTCAGGAAGAGGGTGAAGAGGGTAAATGCATCCCATTGGTTCATTGGGGATGAACAAATCCCATTGGTTTATTTTCATTAATGGTTAGTGGTTTTTTTCCACGAGCTGTTATCAGTTTGAATAGAGTACTTTAATGTTTTTGCACTTGTACAGATCTGTTTTAGTTGGTCAACTTCACGGTGACATTTGTTTACTGTTTTTAAAATTTGTTTTATTTTTGTCTTTTAATGTTGTTTTATGTCTGTACTTGTCCTGTGCACACTGGGAACTTTTACTAATGTATTCCAATGTAGTGTTACTGCAAATGGCAAATAAAAATGAATCTGAATCATTGGTCCACTCATATTTTCTATTTATTTTTGGAGACTATAGGCATCTGGTCAATTCCATTACAATTCAAAAACACATGATTACTTGACTACTTTTAAGGTTTAGGTTTAGGGTTTTCCCACAATATTTAGAAAAATGCATCTGGAAAAAATCACTGACTGCATCTTTAAGCGCTGTCAATTAGACTCCGGCAAGAATTCAAGCAAGACATACAGTATGCAGGAGGGAGCTTAGTAGAAATGATGAGCTTACGAACTCCCCGGGGCCTGGTCCCTGGCGACGAAGAAGGCTGAGCCAAAGACATGACATGATTCTCCACTGAAGAGGCAGTGATGGGGAGGAGGTGGGTTGCAGCTCGAACAGTAGTTGAACTGAGAGGCTCTGGTAAAATGCATGTGTGGATGATTGCTGGTGAGCTCTCTGTTATCTTGATTCCAATGACAAATGGTACATAAAGCTTAACAAAAATAGGCATATATACTGTACAGTTGTCAATTAGTTGCACTACATTCTGGAATTTGTATGAAGCAAATGTTAAATGTTTGTGTAAAATTCCAGCTTTTTGCTAGTTTTAGTTTTATTACCTGTGGATAAATATATATGACCTGCACTATTTTTTCTGGATAATGTCTTGTAAAGTAAACTTAATCGATTACATGCATTTGATAGACTCCACCTGTCCCCTCCAGAACGATAGAGCAGATGTTTTGACATTTTTGGGGATTTTACATGAGATGTCCAGACGGGAGATTGTAATGTTATTATTATGCGTTCTCAGTGCACTCTTCACACACCCACACAGGCAGGTGTTGAAATCCAGCCGCTGGACAGACACTTTACTTTTGCTGCTCATAATGATTGTCTCCAAGAGTTCCCATAGTTCTGCTTCAATATTAATGTGTAAAACATGCACACATGTGGTTATAGTGACATGAATATTCATCTCTTTTGCTTATTATAACAAAAACATTAAAATTGCACAACCTTATTATACCATTATTCCCCTGTTACCCCCATTACACTGCTACACATCCAAACCAGGTCTAGCCCAGGTCCGAATCAGGTCTAAAGCAGGTCTAAACCAGGTCCGAACCAGGTCTAAAGCAGGTCTAAACCGGGCCTAAACCAGGTCTATAATAGCTCTATACCAGGTCTGAACCAGATCTGAGTCAGGTCTATAACAGCACAGGACAGGAGAGTGATGGCGTCGTCCTGAGTTTAAATTGCTTTCATTTTGTCTTTGTCTAGTTCACTCTATGTATCTACACACACCTAAAATAACACGACTGATACACGTTCATGTTATTTTCAAACAAATCTTTATTGCTTGTGTGGTTTTCTCTCATTGTTGCTACTCCTAAGCCAGAGTAACAAAAGTATTGATTTGGTCAGTAATGGGCTCCAGCATAGCCAGAGATGAGTTGTGGGCTGAAGATGTTCAGCACCTTGATCCTGGCCGGGTCCCACACACAGTCCTCCTCCAGTCCACTCGGGACCATCCCACAGTTGGGGGGCACCCAGGCTGTGTCGTAACCATCAGCGTGCCACGTCAGGCGCTGAGGGTGCTGCTGGTAGTTTATAGCAATAACTTTGCCCACATTCACTCGCACCCGGATCACCACCTGTTCAATATGACACACACATTACAACCATTGAACCATAGAGTGTGACATCACCATAGTGTTAGCCTTAATGCAGAAGAGGCTGATTTGAACATAAGCTAGCTGGAGCCAATTTCCTTACGGGCATTTGTTCTAACGACGTTAAGATTAATACGTTGCTAAGACGGTTGCTAAATCAAGCTCGAGTTTCCTGGGAATGAAGGCATCTGATTGGTCAATCCTTATATGGCTCATATCTGGATTTACAAAGACAATATCACAATATAAACACCAGAATCACAGAGAGCACTAAACCACATATTCAATCACAAAATGGTGAGTGTGCAATTTAAAATCATATTTTCAGAGTACATCATCACTTTCTATTGTTACTCCATCACCTTGTCTTTGTCAGGGAGGCCAATGGGATAGCGGCTGGCCTTCTGTAGGTCGCGGCTGAGGTAGACTCCAGGACCCAGCATCCCGTCTTTGGACCGCTTAAACCCGGACCTCTGGATGAGCATGGAACTATTGCTGTCGGTGCCGTGGTACATGATATACTCATTACCTGAAACATGGAATTATTTGTACAACAATTAACTATGTTCCCACACTCATACTATCACCAACCAACCAAGAGCAGGATGGTTCAGTTGTTACCAGAGACAGGAGCATCGGCCCCCAGTCGCACCACTCCAGGAGGCAGGCTAAAGTCATTCTCAGCCCACCGGTACGACATGGTCACTGCTCAGGCACCTGCAAAAGACAAAAAACCCTCTGATCGTCAACATGGTTCTCATCTGCTGTGAAAGAGCTCCCCATCACACTGGCCTCATGTGGGAGAGAATCTGACTGAGAGTAAATCACAACATTTTAGAGACAGAAAACAGCTCTGTCTATGACATGTGGCCCTCTCACATCCAGCCAACTTCAGCTCTGCCAACATAGAAACATTATACCTTGTTGTGAAGCTCTGGATTGCTGCAATTCAGTTGCTGACTTTGTTTGACAATGTTTCAGATTAATAAAAATACATCAGCTGACCATGCCTTTTCACGTCACTGTGAAGAATTTCTCTTTTTAAGATCTAAAGAAATTTACTTTGGAAGCTGATTGAATTCAATTGAATAAGAAAAGTTCTGTTTTTGTCTGTCACAACATGACAGGTTTGCCTTGGTTAGCTGTGCTCCCAAAAACCATTTTGGCTTCAGTTACTGTCAGATCCTGTTCCAGTGTGGGATGTTTGACTGAAAAACCTACTATTGACACTGTTTCTTGATTGCCATTTTTTTGTACATAATATGTCCTGCATTTAACATGTTTGCACATTTCTTACTTATTGCACAATCTTGAGTGTTTCTGTCCATGCCAGATGTGACATGTAAATTTATCCTGTGTGAGATTAATAAAGTATATCTTATCTTAAATCTGGGGTACCTAACATTGAAAATGTGATAAAATATTGGCACTAATTCCTGGTAAAATGTTAAAATCTCTCTCTCTGGTCTCTCTCAATCTCTGTCGGATCTCTCTGTCCAGTCTCTCTTTTTCAGTTGTCTGTCGGAAAAAGCTGATCTAAAAATGTGACAGAGGCCAAAAATACAGGTTGTTAAAACCAAGGCAAGGCAAGGCAAGTTTATTTGTATAGCACAATTCATACACAAGGCAACTCAAAGTGCTGAACAAGATAGCATTAACATCATAAATAATCACAGAACATTAAAACGAAAGATAAAAATATAAAATCCCTCAGTTGTATGCACAGCTAAACAGCACCGTTTTTAACTTGGTTTTAAACATTGTCAGAGAGGAGGCCTGTCTCACATCTTCAGGAAGATTGTTCCAGATTTTAGTAGCATGAATCTGAAAAGCAGCCTCCCCATGTTTAGTTCTGACTCTGGGCACTAACAGGAGTCCAGTCCCTGTGCTCCTCAGAGTCCGGGCTGGTTCATATGGGACTAACATGTCACTAATATATTTTGGTGCGAGGCCATGGAGAGACTTGTACACAAGCAGAGCTGTTTTAAAGTCTATTCTCTGAGCCACAGGAAGCCAGTGCAGAGACCTGAGGACCGGACTAATGTGGTCTTACTTCCTGGTTCTAGTCAGGACTCGAGCTGCTGCATTTTGAATGTACTGCAGCTGTTTTACAGCCTGTTTGGACAGACCTGTGAGCAGGCCATTGCAGTAGTCTAACCTACTGGAGACAAATGCATGGATAAGAATCTCCAAGTCTGCTTTAGACACTATGTTTTTGATCCTGGCAATGTTTTTTAGATGGTAGAAAGCTGCTGATGTTACTGATTTGATGTGGCTGTTAAAATGTAAGTCTGAGTCCAGTATTACCCCTAGATTTCTAGTGAAAGTGAAAGAAGAAACTGTTTTAGAGCCAGGATCTGGAGACATGGGTTTCCTTTTTGTGGTTTTAAATTTGCATACCCCAGCTTTAAGTACCTGAGACTTGTACTTTTGCCACCTGTGATTCATGAAACAATCCTCATCAAAAATACTGATAATTATAGCAATATTTATGTTAACCAGAGATGATATTTAGTAGTGTCATGTTAAAAAGTCAAACTCACCTCTTAGGACAAAACTCTATTGGTCTGATCCGGTCTGGTCTGCACCGAACGGGAGTGAGAGGACGGAATGCTCCACTTTGAGTTTGGACCAATATTTAAGTAACCCGTTTGGTGCAATGTTACTTTCACTTTCTTTAATCAATAAATGAACAGGATGCACCTATTTCCTTTGAAATAGGTGGAGCTCTCCACAAGGACTGTTTCGGTTTCACTACTGTGACACAACACATTGTCTTTGTCTTCAGGTGGAATTAGCCGAATTAGTCACCTTTGACGTCTTCATCACGCCACATCAAGAGCATGTGACATTTTTTGTACACCATAAGATCCACAAAGCACTCCCTGTCTTCTTTGTAAAGTGATTTTATAAACTCTGAGAGCAGGCAAGTCCAAACTAAGGCCCACAGGTCAATTGGGGCCCTCTTTGTTCATATGTGGCCTTCTGCATTGCTAACCCAACGTAGCCTATGAGATCATAAACACAAGTTTACAGTGTCATCCAGCCAACTTCAGTTCAGTCATTATCGGAATGTTACACCTCATCGTAGAGATTCAGCTGTTGACTTTATTTGTGCATACTGATATATGTGTCTCAAAATTCTTATAGTGGTTGCTGATGTACCGTAGCTGGTCGTTTGTCATTCATTCAACTTCAGCTCCGCCATAGTTAATTATAAAGCTCAGAACATCCCAATCCAAATCCAATCAAAACAATCCGGGTTATCGGCCCCTGGACAATCCCGGTGAACTAAAGAGGCCCTGTTACTAGAAAGTTTGGACACCTCTGCTCTAGATCACTTCATGACAACCAAAGTGCTTTTTAGAACTCCCAGAGCAGTCAATTTGACGTGTACTCAATATGTGTACTTTCTAGTTCTTCCTGACTTACTGACGTTTTTGCTTTCTGTATGTACTGTATTTCATTTCTATGTCAATAATTTTATTCTAAGTTCTATCACTAACTCCATTCATTCAGTTGTTTTCATAGCAATTCAAATCTTTTTTATAGGACTGGTCCTGGACTGGTTCTGAGCTAGTGTTGCCAGTTACCATAGCAACACACTGTTTACTTGCAGCATTTAGCATGTAGCCTTTCAACAGCCTTTTTGCCGTTTTTCAAGTTATAATAACCAAAAGTGAGTAAAGGTTTAGTTCTCATAAAACACATTGTGGGGGAAATCTTTCAAAATGAGTCCTGGTAGTTTCATAATTCTGGGAGCCCTACTGTTAATGGAATAAGACACATTTGTAGACTGTAGAGACTTTTACAAATGATAAAAAGCCCACTTCAAACTAATTCATAAATCATTTAGTAACAAAGAATTGACTGGATCTCTTGCAGAAATGCTTTGGGAAGAGTTTTGTGAAGGATAAAGCCACACTATTTATTTGCTTTACATTTTATTCAAGAGGTCTTGCTTTTGGGGCATTCTTAGCTCAAGAATAAAGCCATAGCTGCCAGCTCCAAAATGACGACTGCCGTGTAAACCTCAATAATATCCACGCGGTTCATCATCACTGCTCTGATCTTTGTGAAACAGCCAGGCACGGTCGGTTCTGCGGAGCTACATGGGGCATCAGCGTTCTCACAGCACTCCGGTGGGTATCCGTTGTCCTTTTGGTAAGAGGAGTTGGTGAAATCTTTGTAGTCATTAAATCCACAGCATCTGAACGAGCTCATGGCGTCGTCCCACAGTCGTGTGACATCAGCGTCGTTCCCATAGTTCGTCTGAATCTCCCCAACGGCTACTTTCCCAAACTTGACCGACAGGCTGTCCATCAGTGGTCCGCACGTCAACATGGTGACCGCTCCTGCGACTGTTGCCAGGAAGATTGTTGTCATAGCGACGAACAGCAACAGCATCGCGCTCTTGCACACGCTCAAAGCCTCGCAGCGGCCCAGAAAGTCCACCGTGACCTGCAGGACCCCCAGAGCAACGAGACGGGAGCCCACGTTCAGCAAATGGGGAAGCTCGGACTCTGCGCCTGGGATCAGTTCCAAAAATCTCAGGATCGAAGAAAAATTCACCCAAAACAAAATTGCCACACAGGCCTGAAAAAGGATGCAATTGAAGAAAAATAACTCGAGGCTTTGGTTATTCTGTCGTAGAGAATACATGGCTCCAGCGGTTTTATTTTCTTCTAAGTAACATCCAAACAGCCGCCTCTTGATTTTACTGAGCAAACTACAACTACTCCTGGGTTAGCTTTGAAAACTACTCATTCAGAAGATGCAATTATCCAGTTACCCTAGCAGCACATTGTTTACCTGTAGAAGTTAGCATTTAGCCTTTCTCTAAACTGTTTTTTTTTTCTGTATTTCAGTGGCACTTCCCAATTTTAACACTTTAGTAAATTAAGCAAGTAAAAACATTGCACGTTACTGTCAATAAAACTGTTGGAAAATTAAACATTTTTGGAGGAATTTCTCAGAATTCCATTGGTTCGAATGTGAGCAGTCAAAATGCTGACCTTGGGAGTAATTTAATAATCCTCAGAGTCCTTGTGTTAAACACAAAAATGTCATGGTGTTGATTTTGTGTTATTTTACTTATTACTTATTTCTCTATGGTTTTAACGTTGCTCATTCCCCTGTTTGTATTGTATGCCCCGCCCTAATGTGTTTCACCCCTGTCTCTGTGTCTATATGTATCTGTGCATACAACTGAGGGATTTTATATTTTTATCTTTCTTCTTAATGTACAGTGATTATTTATGATTTTAATGCTATCTTGTCTTGTTCAGCACTTTGAGTTGCCTTGTGTATGAATTGTGCCATACAAATAAACTTGCCTTGCCTTGCCTATGTATCTGCATCTGTCTCTGTGTCTATATGTACCTGTGTCTCTCTGTTTCTATGGTTATGTACCTGTGTCTACATGTATCTGCATGTGTCTGTGTCTATATGTACCTGTGTCTCTCTGTGTCTATATGTACCTGTGTTTCTCTGTTTCTATAATAATGTACCTGTGTCTCGTTGTATGTGCATGTGTCTGTCTGTGTCTATATGTACCTTTGTCTATGTACTGTGTCTCTCTGTGTTTATATGTACCTGTGTCTGTGTCTATATGTACCTGTGTCTCTCTGTGTCTATACAGTACGTACCTGTGTCTCTCTGTGTCTATATGTACTGTACCTGTGCTCATCCCCACTTGTTGCTGGTAAATTGTCTTTGCTTGTCTTGCTCTGTCCAGGTCCATCTCCCTGGTATTGCTTGGATTTTTTTCTTACTTTTTATCCTGGACTTTATATTTCTCATCATCACCAAATCATTATTTTTGAATTTCTGTTTTTTTTTTTTTTGGGTCCTCCTTCTTTTCACAACATGACAAAACATCTCCCAAATCCAAAACAAGCCTTGTTTTTGTCTGTGCTTCCCCTGAAACAAAACGCTTATCTGTCTTAAGGTCTGTTTGAAAGAAGAATCTCACGAATGTGGCACCTTGGCTCTGTGTAAGACGTGAGCGCGTATGGGTTGGTGGGCGGTGGGTTTGGGGGGGATCCAGTTGCTCTGAGGGGGGCAGCTGTCCCCAGAGAAGCACAGTGGAGACGGGGGCAGGAATGTCTCCAAGCAGCAGGAGCCGGGGACAGACACAAGACTGGACAGCAGTAGACAGACAGAGACAGAACAAGTATGTGCCGGGGGTGAAGGGAGATCTGCACTGGGGTCTGCACTGGGGTCTGCACTGAGGTCTGCACTGGAGTCTGCACTGGGGTCTGCACTGGGGTCTGCTCTGAGGTCTGCACTGAGGTCTGCACTGAGGTCTGCTCTGGGGTCTGCACTGAGGTCTGCACTGAGGTCTGCTCTGGGGTCTGCACTGAGGTCTGCTCTGGGGTCTGCACTGAGGTCTGCACTGAGGTCTGCTCTGGGGTCTGCACTGAGGTCTGCTCTGGGGTCTGCACTGAGGTCTGCACTGGGGTCTGCACTGAGGTCTGCATTGAGGTCAGTGCAGACCTCAGTGTCTGCATTGAGGTCAGTGCAGACCTCAGTGTCTGCATTGAGGTCAGTGCAGACCTCAGTGTCTGCATTGAGGTCTGCTCTGGGGTCTGCACTGAGGTCTGCACTGGGGTCTGCACTGAGGTCTGCACTGGGGTCTGCACTGAGGTCTGCACTGAGGTCTGCACTGAGGTCTGCTCTGGGGTCTGCACTGAGGTCTGCACTGGGGTCTGCACTGAGGTCTGCACTGGGGTCTGCACTGAGGTCTGCACTGGGGTCTGCACTGAGGTCTGCATTGAGGTCTGCACTGCACACATAGAGCAACCAGAAGTCAATGTTAGTCCTGGAATGAACATATATCAGCATTATTCACAACTCAATTAAACATGTGTATTAATTTGGATTTGATACACGGCACATATATTTTGGCACTTGATAATATTTTGGTTTGCATGTCGTTAAACAGAATCCAGGTTTGATCAAATGTTGTAGAAGGAGAAGATGGACAATTTGGGGGAAATTAAAATAGGTTTTCATTCAGATTTAGACTACTTATTTATTCCACCAGGACCAAATATATGAACATGTTACAACTTGTATTATGCTTTTTTATTTGCATGTTTAAAATGTTTTAGGATTTTAGTAGTTCTCCAATTCTTATAAAGTTTCAGGGCTCCACCTTTTGTCTGTTTGAAGTCAGGTGTATTTCTGGAAAAAAATAAAATGATATACCCTCAATGAATGCAATGCCATTATTTGACTGATTCAAACTAATGGAATTCTGAAAAATCCCTCCAAAAATGTTTCGTTTTCCACCAGATTTATTATAAGTCAGTAAGTGCTAAAACTGGTGACTAAAACTTCAAATACAGCAGCAGTTTGTTGAAAAGCTAAATGCTAACTGCTGAGAGTAAACAGTGTGTTGCTGTAGTAACTAGCACTCGCTCTTCTCTGGTGGAAAACTAGGCTTAGAACCAGTACAGGATTCAGTCCAGATTCAGAACCAGTCCAGAACCAGCACCTTGAAAAATGGGCTTTCACTGCCATAGAATGTTCGTTATCAAGCAACCAACAATTACTACATTTAAATTTTTCATTAAAGGAATGGAGTTAGAGGCAGAACTCCTCACATTTCAAAAACAAAATAATATTCAAAAGAAATAATAACTTAGAATTAGAAGTTGTGAAGACCAAAAATGTACACGAACTGAGTAAGTACACTTCCAAAACTGAAATCCGTCAAAGTGACTGCCCTGGGAGTTCTAGAGTACATTCTATTATTAGCAGCAGACCAGACTTTGTTGACACACGTCTTCACTCTAATAGACCACTCGTGTCCAGACTTGCGCATCCTGTGACTCAGCTTCTCGTAATGAGACCACACATCCCGTTACCGTGACAACCAGGCCTCCCGAGAGATCCGCCTTTGTGAGAGTGGCCCACGTGTGTTTGGAGGAAACAGGTTCAGTTATCAGCAATCTTCTTCCTGTTGTAAAAATGACGTGTGGAATAGTTGGACTCTGATCTGAGGGTGTGAGAGCCGCCACGCGCCGGAATGCACCGGAATGCCCTCACCTGAGCCCGAATACCTGCTCAGGGAAAACCCGAATGAAGAGTAGACGTAACTTACTGCAACAGTGTCGACTATTTGCTGAAAGGAAATGCATAGCTCTTTCTGGATCACCTGAATTGACAATAAATATTTTGTAGAAAATGCAGTAGTTTATTGGAGCAGTTTTACAATGTATTTTTACTGGTACATATACATTCAATAAACCAAGCTCAAAAATAAAATGTACAGTAAAATAACAAAAAATAGTATGATAGGAAATGTATATGCCACTGTACTCATGGTGCTTAGGGAAAAAAAGTAAGAAAGTAAGTATTATTTAAGATTTCAAGTATTTTATTGGGATATTCTTTAAGTTATTGGGATTTTAGCCATATCATCACACATTGGGTCCCACTATTTTTCCCCTTTTTATGCCCTCAGTGAATTTTTCTTAGTCATTTTATTTATTTATTTATTTATTTTTTTTACCAAGTAATACGTTTTGGCACACACATAAAAAATAAATAAATACATAGACAAAAAAAATATTCTTCTCTATACATGTATTGTCTTCTTGTCTTTGTGCTATTTTTATTCTGTTCAGGGTTGTAATTTTTGGGGTTGTAGTTTTGTGTTTTTATTTTATGTTTGTCAAATTTGTTTGTCTGTTTTGTTATAAAAGAAGAAAAAAAATACAATGTACACACACCTACACTCACACACTATCCTCCGAGTCCCTCATTTCACACCAAGGTCGCACAAGGCACTTTTGGGTTAATTTCCCTTCACTTCACACACGGCAATGATCAACCGCTTGGACCGTGCCTCAGACCCTCCAACCATCACCATCTCACACTTCCTCATGGTTTTTAGTGGTACAAGGGGAAACTACTGTATCTGGAGGAGATCTACGCAGACATGGGGAGAACATGCAAAACTCCACCCAGAAAGGCCCTGTCACTATGAACCCAGAACTTTCTTGCTGTGAAGTACTATGTCACCATGCAAATACATTTAACAAAGAGAGACACATCTAACAGTCATAAGAAAATATTAACAGTCTTCTCTTGAATTGGTGTCATTAACATTCCATTTACAAGGAGCATAAGGGGTAAAAGCCGCTTGAGGAATGAGGAGGTCTGCGGATGTGAAACAGGTTTATGAGGCCACTATCAGGTCTTTATGTAGCAAAGCACTTTACGAGGAAGTTATTCTCAGTTGGTGATAATGGTATTTTAATGATCTTTAGTAGCCCACATAAAAGAATACTTAAAGCTGGGGGATCTAACTTTTCTTCCTTCAGAACTGATACATGTTGAAGACTTCTCAACGTTATAAAAGTGGCGAAAGATCAAACCACAATATTCTGTTTTTATCTTTTTTGTTTATCATAGTTGTGATAGATATCCCTGTGAGTCACTGTTTGTCCCTTTGGGCTGAGAGCTGATTGGCTGAGAAAGGGAAGTCCTTTGAAAGTGATCCTGTTTTAATAGAGATTGATAGATTTTATATTTGAGTAGATTTTGTTACTTTTTGGGTTTGAAAGTGAGACTTTTTAGACAAGAAGTAGACGTTTTAGACATTTTTTATAGTGATTAAAGCAAACGTTTTGAATTTGTAGTACAGATTGATTTTTATATTAGATTTGGTTTCATTTTCATTTTGTGGTTGGAAAGTTCGGTACTTCACCCCCAAGAAGACATTTTAGACATGCTTCATAGTGACAGGGGAATTACAACCAGTCACGTGGCCTATTGTAGCAGATTATGAATGGAGTGTAGCAAGTTAGACAACCATAGCTTAGAACATTATTATGAAAACTTTAAATTCTTCAAGTGTTAAATTAAATAATGTAGAGAATGACCCACTCCTCATATCTTCAACCCTGTTTCAGAGTAAGTGCAATTTCTTGTGTTCTGTCCATTATACACCGTCAAAAATTGAGGGGAAAAAAAGTCAAAAACTACTCAAATTTGCCAAAAACGTATCTTAATTTGAGCACATTTTGACCGCCTTAAAATAAGATTTGCCAATGGGGCAAAGACAAATTATCTTGTTTGAGAAAAGATACAAGAAATGTCTCCCTTGGAATGAGAAAATAAAGCAACAGTCCTTGAAATCAGACTAAATGGCTTTGAAATCTTGTTTTAAGACACTCAGAATGTACTCAAATTAAGAGGAAAATAAAAAAACACTCGATTCAAGCATTTATAACCTCATATTTGATCATTTCCCCAGTGTTAGTGGTGGTCTTGGCTGTTTCACCTTCCTGTATATGTTAGTTTACAGTCAGAGTGAGTGCTGCTTGCGTCACATTCAGGGCTGATGGGAAAAGACAACGCTGGAGACGAGCGACACGAGATCTCAGCGTGAAAGAAAGAAAACGCAGCGATTTACAGGAAACGCCTTTCCAACTCTACCCTGCAGTAACCTCCTCCAGTATCCAGCTTTGAACTGTGCCAAGTTGCGGCTGATTCATTCATTTCACAGGCCGCACCTTCAGATAAGTCGGTTCAAGCCGCGACAGATCTCAAAGATGCTGACATGAGAGTGGGAGGTTTCACTTGTAAAATGGCGTGAATCATCTTTTTTATGGTGTAGATATATCTCTTTTTTTGTGTATCATCAGCAAACTTTTATGACAGACTCGTGGTCATTTGGACATAATTCAATTCAATGGATTTCAATGTATTCTTGTGTATGACCAAAGTCTATAAATGTTGATAAATGTCCATAAATAAACAGGATCAGTGACTTTATTCAATTGATACGAAGCTAGTCGTATTGTTACATGTGTCTGGATGCTGTAGCAATATAAATAAATACATATTTCTTTCTCTTTATTAGCAAAATTGTCCCTGTACTGCTAAAAGACAGGTGTATGGAGCCGCAAAATCTATAACAAAACTTATAAATGTTGAAAGGGTATTTTACCAGTTACAGTGTTATACTAATGCTGATTATTAATGAAGCTGAATGAAAAATTTGAAACTATATACATTGAATTTGTGGGTCACCCCCCGACCCAGGAATGGATTAGTAAAGGGGAAGTAACGAATGAATGAATGAGAATAAATACCGACACACGAGACACAGGTGATGCTAATGAGGGCGGGGCAGGGAATCAGGAAACAGGAAGTACTACTAAAGGAAACACAGGGGTTAACAAATGACAAAATAAGTAAGGGATAATAACACAGGTCATTATCGAAAAATGACTTATTATACAGCTTTCGGCCAACTGAACACACAAAATAAACTTCAGTCCACTTTCATGAACGGCAAAAGGTTTATTTAATGACTGAAAATAAAATGGTTCCCAAAGGTTTTCCCATTGCTGCGTGGCTAGGTGCGTGACACAGCTTTCGGCTAGCTTCTTGTTTATATTAAACTGAACGTTCCTGTTGAAGGTGGAGTTGGAGATGAGGAATGGTGGCGTATATCTGGGTACGTTGAAAGTCTGGCTCCATTTAACCTCAGGAACCATTCCCCAAGTTTCTCTCGCAGAGACAGAAGTAGCCTCTGGAAATAGATAACGTTAGCGTAAATAAGCTTGGTGACGAAGTGGCCGGACTACTTGCGGAAAGATCCATCTGACACACCTGAATTACCACCGCTGTCAGACTGTACGATAAGTCACTTTAAGTTATTGATGCCCTGCACTAGGACTGAAGAACCAGCGCCTTTATTGCCACTTTTTTAATGTACATAATTATATCCTGCACAGACTACATTTTTAACCTTACCTATTGCACACTTCTGTCTTTTGCACAATCTGAGTGATTCTATCTTTGCTAAATGTGACATGTACATTTCCCCATTGTGAGATCAATAAAGTTTATCTTATCTTACAAGCACAAATTGCGTTGCCATTGGTGACGGTCATTATTGATTTCAGTTCAGTTATCAAGAAATAATGACCGGTAGAACATTTTGAAAATACATTTAAATCAACAGAGCGTTCTACTTCTACTGTGAGGAACCGTTTAATAAAACAGGAAATACATGTATTAAGGTGGACTGGGATGGCATTTTTATTTTGTTTTATTTTTACTGGAAACACAGCTCGTTCTTGTAACCTATACGTTATTTTATTCAGCACAACCTTCACGTTCATTTGACACTTTTCATTTCCGCCCTATTCACACCAAATACACCCATTACATAAAGCTAACCCACGACAGTATAGGAGCCTCGTCTCTCGCTTGTCTGTGCATAAAAATTTATAATAAGGCTATATCCACACGAAGACAAAACGCTTATAATTTCAGAAACTTTTTCTGTAAACACGGAGTTAGCTCAGTAAATGTGTGCGTCCATATGAATGTAGTCAATACGCCTGAAAACGCTGTGAAACTATGCCAGACCTGTTGGTGGCGCTGTGACGCAATGACGGGATCAAGCCCAAACTTCCGTGGGCATGCGCGGAATTTTGTAAACAGACAACATGGCGAGTGGGCGAGCTGGTACTACATTAGTATGGACGGACGATGAGGTTGAACTGTTGCTTCGGGTCGCACTGGATTACAAAACCAACAAGCTACATTGTTGTTGTCATTATTTTGTGAGTGCGGCGCATGCGTGCTTTAACAAGAGGCGGGGCGATGACGCAAGCGTCTCAGATACATTGCGGAGAGGCAGTAACCACGGAGCGGCATATACGGAGTTTTGAAATCTTTCCACTCTGGGACCTAGTTTCAAAAATGTTCGTTTACACCCCCCCAAAACGCCGGCCTCGTATGGACGATACACTGGATTGATAAAGTATTTTTGCGTTTAGGCCTGAGCTTGACTTCGTGTGGACAGGGCCTAAGTCTGTGACAATGACCCGGGTCCTGCGTCAGAGGAGGTTTTCACAGCCTTATGTCATCACGGAGGCTTTATTATCCAGCCCTTCAAATGACCACTGTGCCACCGCTCTGTATTTACCAGGAGATCCTACACGTGTGGCATCTGCTCAACATTAAAGCGCTGCCAATTTGTGAAGCTTGTGTGTAATTTTAGAGCCGGGGCTGATGTGGCTCAGATCTGCCGCCCACTTTGATGAGGATATTGTGGGATCATCCTCCTTCAAAGAGACGCACCGCTGATGGGACGGCAGGAGAGGTGTCACTTTACCATACGGCCATACTTGTAAACACCGCTCCACTCCCATTGAGCTTTAAGGCACCTTTGATTTAAACAAGTTGGAACTAGTCCAAAGAATAGAAGAGATTTCCTTTTCTTTGAATTGTTTTTTACATTAAGGATAATTTGGCATGACCTTTATGTAGTCATGTAGTTTCGCCATTACTTTCTGCATTTTTTCTGAAAACAAAAATGTGTTTAGATTGAACCAAAACTGGACCAAAAATATTGTCAAACACATTGTTCTATTTAATTTCTTACGATGTGTTGGGTTAAATGCCTTGGTTGCCCATTACTTTCAATGCTACAAATTAATAATTACATTTGAAAAGAATTTTAGGGGCACTAAAAATGGTCTTGTTTTAGAGGAATAAAAGTTTGCTTCTAGATTACAGCAGTATATGTCTTATAATGTTGTCATGAGGACTAAAAGTTTCAACATCTCTGTCTGTTGGTGTCCGGTTAATAAGGCGGAAACCAGGTGTGACCTCTTTGTCTCTTTGCGATTATTGAGAGAGAATTTCCGACAAACAAATGAGGAGCTTTGAACTCAGTCACTCAGCCCATCCTTAAGTGGCCGTCACTCACAGTCACATGTTTCCACCCACACAGAATGTTTTGCATTCAACACAATTACATTTTCATCTGTTTAAACTGTCTGTATGCTGGCCTGAATTCGTGCCAAATAGATAAAGCAGCTTATAATTATTTTTTTCATAAACTTGAAATAAAAACCCAATATAATAGTTAATCATCGATCATATTGGATGATGAATGGAATAGCACTGCTCTCCGGAACTAGGCGTGTTTTGGCGGCTGGTGTGAAGTGAGTCTTATCACCGGTCACAAAAGAGACACATTCCACCTGACACGGGTGACACGGGACACACGGGGACTTTCCGGTCTCCACTCCCTGAGGCCGGGCGCGCATGGCATCTATGAACTATGGGAAATGTCTCTGACCATAACACGTGTTAATGAAGGCACAGATTCAAGGATTTTACAAATATTTGCATATTTATTCAAATAAATACGAAGTAAACACATAGGCTATAATTTAAAGCTGGTTGACAATAACAACATGGCATGACACAAATAAATTAACACAAGTGTAGGAGGCAGGCTCCTGAAGGGAGAGCTTGAAATAGTTTTGACTCAAGGTTCATTCAGTCCTCCTGAGCTCCGGGTCAGCTCTGTCTGAGAGTCCCAAATCCTTCATGTTTGGACCGGACGACCTCGTCTTCCTTTTGGTCCTAGTTTTGTCTGTGTGGTCCAACAGTGACGCTGGAATCACAATACACAAGACATTAGTGTCATTCAGTGCGTGTGACATGTGCTGCTGAGCGGTTGGCGGCTCACCATATTAGGAGTTCAGTTCAGTGCGCACTGTGCGTCTTAAGGCGCCCTGGCCATGCGCCTCTCCTGCTGCCCCGGAGACGCGCTCTCATTGTCCTGGCGGGTTTTAAAGTCCTGAATCGCTTTTCTGTTTTGGAAGTCGATCAGCGCCATGGTAATGACTGCGTTCCAGCAGTTCTCCTCTCCAGAGCACCGGAAATCGATTTCTTTGTCGTCTGTGGTCACGATGGTGAAGTAGACGAATTTGCCCGTGCGCTCCACACAGTCCACTTTCTTGATGGACTGAAGCTTGAGCTCCTTGGCTTTGCTGCGCTTCTGTGTGTCCGGGTAGATGTTCAGGCTGTCCGCCGTCAGGACGCACGTCTTCCTCTTCCAGAACTGGAGGAGGCTGTCGCTCCTCTTCTCCAGCTCGCCCTCTTTGAGGATCTCCGCCGCCGACATTTTCATGGTTAGGCTGGGGTTAAGCTGGCCTCGTGTCTCTGTAGTAGTCCGTGCTTGTGAATGGACGGCTCAGAGAGGCTCTTTATAGCGCGCAGGGGTTGGGCCGTCCCTGTGACGTCAGCGCCTCAGCTGAGGTCTGCGGCTGCGGGCGGAAGCACAGAGCGAGGACCAAAGGAACATCACTGACCACAGGGAAATGATTAACCACGTCCAGAAGAAACACGGACCGTGTCCGCGACGTCCGCTTCAGCGTCCACTGCAGGCGCTCACACACGCGCGCACACACGCGCTCACACATCAGCCATGAGAGAATATGGGACACAGATGTTTTAACAGATCTTTGAAATATTTATCCACAAAACATTAGTGGAAGTGTAAAGCTCGGCAGCACGAGAATTTTAAACATTTAACCATTTAGTTTCCACGACTGAATTTATAATGAATGCAACAATAATCCACAAACAGAGTTCATGACAGCAGGATTCAAAACTTGAACGGAAATGACTTGGATTCATTTGTGCCACAAAAGCTCAGTTCATTCTCTCCACACGCAGGTCATGAGCTCATTTAGCCGCAACTGGTCCCTGACCACAGCCTTTGTCTGTCCTCAGCCCGCCCTGCCCCAGTCTTCTCCAGGTGAAAGAGATGGATCTGTAACACCGGCCTGGACATCTGGAATAAACTTGAAACTTATAAATAAAATAATGTCTATATATTTGTATAACAACATTTTTAGTCTTATTATTAGAGGTCATTTGCCTCAGTCATAAAAAGGTAATTCACCTTAATATACCATGGCACATTTTGGTGGACTTTGAATTTTTTGTATTTCTCAGTGCAGAGATCTAATAATTACAGAAAATGAGAGGCCAAAAGTCCAGGACCTCAGCTTCTCTAAAGACATCAGCCTTTTGTTTATGTGATTCAAACTGATTCCTCAAGATCAGTTTTAATTGTTTACAATTTTAGAGGCGTTTTAGAGGAATGTTGTTTGGCGTAGAAAGAAAGTTATTGTTAGAGACTTCAGGTTCCCACAGATGTGACGCTGCCACAGGAATGATTAGTGTTCAATGTATTTATTGAACACTACATGTCATTATGATTGCTCTAACATGAACTATTTAACAACGGACTAATTAATTTACATACACCTGTATCCATGGCTCAGCTTCCAATGTATGAGCAGTTCAAAGACAAGGTAATATATTAGATTTTTTTAATGTACTTTTGATGTTGTTTTTGTTTGCTTTAGTGTATTTCAATCTGTGGCACTTTGAGGTTTTGTTGAAATATAAGAAGTTAGTATTATATAGGTCCCAGTTGCCACAAAGAGCCCGAGTCAAGTGACAGTGCACTGGGGTCACACACCTCTCCTCTCGGCTCATATCACCTCAGACATTCTGGAAGCATCTCCACCACTCCGGAAGCCAAGATTCCAAACCACACTGTTTTTTTATGACATCTTAAAACCAACAGCAGATCCTGACGCAGCAGAGTGTGGAGTGAGGCGCGTGTTGACAGAGAGACTGGACGGGGCCAGCGCACTCAGGCCCCTCTGTCTGAAGTGCTTTGTCCCGTTTGTGGATACAGGCTCAGGGACATGCCCGGGCAATGACTCAGGCGGCGGGGTAGGAGCAGCTTGCAGGAGTGTGCTTGCTAAAGGAGGACTGTAATATGTGTGTAATGTGTGTGTTTGCATGTGTCATTTAAGAATAAAACAGAAAACACACTGCTTTTGGTCCATAGGAGGCAGATGAACAATGTCCATAAGTGTTGATACATGTCTTGTGTGTGTGTGTGTGTGGGCTGAACACACACAAACACACGTACACACACACTGCATTTGTAAGCTCCATAAAACCAGGAGGAAGTGGCTTAAACTAATTACATGGTGTGGTTCTACAGACTGTCAGTAACTATTCAGGTATAACGTATTGTGGCTTTGTGCATTGTCTCATCTTCATAGGGCACTTTACTTCCTTTTGGGCACACAACATTATCAAGGAACCACACAAACATATTCTTCTGTGGCAGGAACGTTCAATTATTCTTGGAATTTAGCGTAAACCAATCACAACTGACCTTGAGCTCAGTGACAAGCATCTATAAAATTAGAGAAAGGATGTCCAGAATGTTTAGTAAGGGGCCTCTGTTGTTCACCGGGATTGTCCAGGGGCCAGAGAGATACCAGAGAGAGAGAACAGAGACAGGCCAGAAAGAGACCAGAGAGGGACCAGAAAGAGAGACCAGAGAGAGACCAGAGAGAGAGTGACCAGAAAGAAACCAGAAAGAAACCAGAAAGAGACCAGAGAGAGACCAGAGACAGACCAGACAGAGACCAGAGAGGGACCAGAAAGAGATCCTTGAGAGACCAGAAAGAGACCAGAGGTTCTGCTTTAAAACAAGATTGCGGCATGCCTGTTTTGTTGGAGCGGAAGTTGGCTGAATGACTCAGTGGTGTTTTTTGTTAGCAAGGCTGAGGCCAAATAACATGACACTGAAGGCCACAATTGGTCCGCAACCCTTAATTTGGACATGCCTGAATTAGATAAACCTTGTCCAGATATTACTGGATACATCCCTAGACCAATTGTCTATAATTCATATTTTAAAAAATTAAAGAAGCTAAAATGTAGCTATTTTTGTTACCACTGTTTTTGTATTTCCACACACGTCTGTATGAAACCGCTGACAACACGAGCGAGGAGGCGTTTTTAGGCCCTGTTGCATGAGATCTGGCTAAATCCTTTTACAAAACCGTTGTGGTGTTATTGCTCATCTCGTGACTAAACACAACATGGATGTTGTTAGAAAAGGGCACGGTCTCGCAGCCTGAAGACACAACACTCTGAGGAAACCACAAAAACACACACAGCTCCTATCGGCAGCGGCCAAGGTCGGGGGCGTGAGGTGTTCTGTTTATGTGTACGGACAGATCTGGGGCAGGACTGGTCTGGGAGGTCTGGGTGTGACATTACAGCAGGTGAAAAGACCAGAATCATGTCGGGGCATGAGGAGCCGCGTACTGACAACCATGAGACAAATACTGCAGTTCCATGAGTCTATTTAAGGACCAAAACAAGAGAGAGGCCACACTTATGTTTCATGGAGCTTATGAATGAGTAATGAGAGGGACCCAGATCTGTTACATACTGTACATACAAGGCTATACGTGTACATACAATGCCATTAGCACACTCGAATACTCTTAAATACAAGTTAAACATGCTTAATATCAAATGTCACATGGCTCAAACAGCTATAGATCTTCAAAACCATCTCTTTAACACCAGCTTTTTAAAATGTGCTGCTGGTAAATTTCAGGGATTATTCTATAGGAAGAATTGTTGCTTTAAGGTAGGAGTCACCAACCTTTTCCCATCAGAGAGCTACTTTCATACAACAGAAGAGGCAGAGAGCTACTCCCTTTTTGCAGCCGTAAAAAAAATATATGAAATAATTATGACAAAACAAATATAACATAGTGCTCAAAATGTACTCGTTTAAGATCATGTGTTAAATTCTAAAGCCCATGGGGAGCTACCTGAAAGAGGCTGGCGAGTTACCGGTAGCTCCCGAGCAACAGGTTTAAGGATTACACAGCATTTTGAAATCTGGTTTGTACTTGTTTGCCAGGTAAAGGAGCTATAGGTTTGACTCCGGGGCCTTTCTGTGCGGACTTTGTATGTTTTCCCCAGGCGCTCTGGTTTCCTCTGCCTCTAAAAACATGCACTATACAATAGGAGGGGTCAGTGGTGCTCCAGTGAGAGTCCAGTGCACAGTTGTGTGGCAGCATCACTTCTGTCATACACCTCCACAGAAGGCTATAATAAATACAGGCCATACTCACTTACTTTGTTACCATAGCAACCATAAGCCTGGTCTCCTCTGAAGGGACGAGAGCAGGTCCAGTGCTTTGTGTGACGCGCAGACGATCGTAAAAGAACTCTGAAGGCGCACAACATGTTTAATGTGGATTTAAACATAAAACTTTATTTCGTTTGAACATCAGAGTTTCCCATTGTCCAGCATGTTTTGAACTAAGCACAAGGCTCAGCAGATGTGACATGAAAAATAAAACAGCGGCTTATCATGACAGTCACAGAAGCGGTACCTCTCTCCATGTCATTGTGCAGGATGCAAAAATCTTTCAAAAATCCCAGCACGACACACATTCCCACAAGAGTTTCCATAGCAACCAAAACCCCATGAACCAATAGGTTATGGCTCCTAAAGGTACCAAAATGTTTGCCTTTCTGAAAATGTATTTCTATTACTTTTAACGTAATATAATATAGAGGCTGGCGGAAATTGACATTAGGAACAACACAATAAACACATCATGCTCCTGCTGCTGGTGAAGGCCTGAGGGTTCCTCTGTGGGAAGAATCCTCTCTGTGGGCTTGTCACATCACGCACGTACAATGTTTAATCTCTGGGTCTCTGTGATAGGACGCAACAACACTATAATACAGAAAAAAGACACTGATATAATTTCTCCAAACTTCTGCCCGATTAATTATTTGCGTATGATAAATAAATCAGGCTATAAAGCAAAGCCTATTGTAAATGCTATGGCAAAACTCATTTAGAATTTCTTTATTGCCATGAGAGTAACAAGAAGTCACAAAGTAGGAAAAAGCTTTGGCTCTCTGTGCAAACAGGTGAAAGTAGAGAATAGAATAAGGCATAAATACAAATCTACATAAATTAACTAAATGGTGGAGTGCTATTTTGTATCCTTTAGAAACATTTTTGAAAGGCTTAATATTTTCTGTTCAGGATATTAGAAAGAAAACATATCTTTTAAAATGTATATAAGATTTAGATTAAGAGATCCTTTATTCATTCATTTATCAACACTTATGGACCAATACCAATGTTTTTTTCTGTTTTATTTCTTGTGTTTGAACGGTTTGATTCTCTGATCTGTGTTGGCGAATTGTGTAAAGTCTTCCCAGATACTGTTGTGATTTAGGGCTATATAAGTTTACATTGAATTGAAA